CCTTCCATCCCAAGAGCCTCCACCATCTCAGTCACAGCCGGCATCCAACGACCCTGGAGACGACTTCGTGAACCAATTTGATCAAGACCAGCATCATTTTTAGTTTTTTTTTAGTTTTTCATTGTATATTATGAATTTTAAAACTTATTATTGTATATTATTAGTTATTTATAAATATTTTTTTATTTATTTTTTAAATATATATAATTTTAATTTATAATTATTTTTTTTTAATAGGAAAAAATAGTTTCGAAGTAAAATCCTCGTAAAGGTTTCGAGGTAAATTCCTCGTAAACTTTCCTAGCAAACTCCTCGTAAAGTGTCTACTACGAGTTTACGAGGAAGTACTTTACTACGCTCTTACGAGGAAAGTATACGTGGAGCTTACGAGGAAATGTTTTCCACGGCTTTACGAGGAAAACTTTCCTCGTAAATTAGCTAGGCCTTTACGAGGAAAATAGCCTTTACGATGAACGTCTTTCGACGAAACACGTTTCCTCGCTATTTCCTAGTAAAGGGCCCTTTACTAGGAAATAACGAGGAAAATCCGTCCTAGTAAATGACGTGTTTTCTTGTAGTGGATATCTACTCTCGCTGATCAGAGATATGATGCTCGTTTGTAACATATCTAGCAACCTAATTCATGGTTAATGATAAAAGGTTAAACCCAGATCAAACTCTACGTGATTAGATTAGTATTAGCATTAAGTGTAGTCATAAACGAGACAAAAAGATGAAGCTTATCTATGTTCAGTTCTTGAATCAACACCCTAGAACCCTAGGCTAACAAGATCGATAATTCAGTCATAACAACAGAGAATACAGAGACAAGAGATGAAGAAAACATGAATATTATTGCAGATATAATATAAATAGGCACTACAAGAAATAAGGGTTTTAATAGCACCCGTAAAGCGCTATCATACGATACCATAGCGTTGTAGAAAGCGCTCCAATATTGCCCGCGATAATAGGTCTGGTCCATTAGATAGCGGTTTTGTTATCCGCTATTCTTATTATTTTAGTAATATCGTTTTTGTTTATGCAATTGTAATCTTTTTAATAGCGTCTCTAAAATGTTATTATAACATTTTTACTATAGCAGTTTTTTTGAATTTTTCATTGCATTTTTAAAATGTAATTGTTTCATTTCATTTATAACAAATTTAATTTAATATTTTTATTTTGAAAATAATACAAATGAAATCGAAAATTAGTTCATAATTAAAAATTAAATTTTATTAATTAATTTAAAGCAGTACACAAATAACTAAAGATTACATTAAACCATAACCAAATTAAAACATTAAACCAAAAGATAATTAACCAAAACTTAATTAACCTAAACCTAATCTAACCCTCTGCCTACAACCCTAATTCATCCGCCTCTAGCCTCTAGCCTCAAGCCTCCAGAGCATCTAGCCTCCAGAGTGCTGTTCTTGAATCACCAGCCCTTTGTCTTCTCGTCTCGGAGTCGGTGGCGAGAAAACCATCATCAAGATTCTTCATCATCCTCCACTTTATTTAACTAAGAACACAAAAGAAAAACAAGAATCAGAAAATTAGGATCGAGAGAGAGACAGAGAGTCGAGGTTACTGGTACAAGATAAGAACTTTGTCCCAGATAAATAAACACACGCACACAGATCTGTGAGACTTCAAAAAAGAGAAGCTTGCGTTTGAGATGAACAGACCAGAAACAATGAGATGCGACGCGATAAGAGAGAAGCAAGGCTTCCATTGATGTTATCTGTGAGATTAGGAACTGTGGCTGTAACAACATCAACGAAAGAGAGAGAGAGAGAGAGAGAGAGAGAGAGAGAGAGAGAGAGAGAGAGAGAGAGAGAGAGAGAGAGAGAGAGAGAGAGAAACTGAATCTCGTCGTTCTTTTTGTTTGAGAGAGAGAGATGAAGAGAAGAAGCGTGAGATAGAGGGGGGGGAGAGAGAGAAACACAAAATATTTAATCTGAACCCTTCAAAATATCTAATCTATGGTTAAGATTATCAATCCACACACAACTTTTTATAACCAATAGAAAAAAATGGTGAGGATAGATATAAGAGTGATTTTGGACCTTTGATTCAAATCAATCAAGGGTTCAAAAAAAAGACAATACAAATTGTCTTCTTATTTATTTATGACTATTATAAAAAATATTTAAGCTTTAAGTAATTTAGAATCATAATTTAAATTTTGAAATCTAAATTTGTATTTAAAATTTTAATTTAATTACAGAATTATAATTCATTTAAAAGTTAAGATTTAATGTTTTATGATATATGTTAAAATGAGATATGTGGTTTAGGGGTTAGAGTTTAGGGTAATGTTTATGGTGATTGAAGTTTGGATATTAAGAGTGAATTTTGAAAAAAAAAAAATTTTAGAGTTTAGTTTAAAGTTTGAAGTATGATATAAGGTTTGGGGTTTAGGGTTTTAAGTACACCAAACTCCATATAGTAATACCACACAAGATATATAAACCCCAAAACTATTAGGGTTTAGGTTTAGGGTATGTCAACTGAAATTATGGTTTACGAAATAGAGTTTAGGGTATAGAATTATGCTTTTATTTATAATTTATCTGAACAATAGTTTTAAGTGTTTAAAAACAGAGTTTGGAACAAAAGACAACTAACAAACTCAACGATGAGTTTTATAACATACAAAGTTAAGAATAATCACAATCAGACAATGAAACTTTATATCTTGTTTTTTTTTCATTTGACATGCTCACAATCAGACAATGAATCTTCTTTGGTTAAAAACAGGCCACCTTTCACTAGAAGAGGGTTGAATGGGAGAGCATCATATGGAGATCTATCAATTCCAGATGCTGACATATCTTTTATAAGCTCTGGAAGACCAAGTACTGACCGTCACTCCCTTTCCTTGTTTGACATTCCTGATCAAAACCGGACTCCTACAAGGCTATCAAATTTCTCTGACCTTGACCGTGGTAGCTTTGAGTCAATAACCTATGGACAAGGGTCAATGGATATAAGCTCACCACCTGCTTCCTCAAGAGACTCATTTGAGAATGAAAGGTTCTCATCTGCTTCTCAAGGAGGGGTAAGACTCTGCTCTTCTCTGAATCTTCTTGCACGTTTTTTTGGCTGATTGTTTATGAGTTTTGGCAAAACCAGGAGGATGTAGAGGCTGAGATGAGGAGGCTTAAACTGGAGTTGAAACAAACGATGGAAATGTACAGTTCAGCTTGCAAGGAAGCACTCACATCAAAACGGAAGGTATAGTTTCCTATGACAATGAGTGGTGTGTGTGGCTTCATTTTTACTTTAAATTGTTGAACCTGCAGGCAACAGAGCTTCAACGCTGGAAGTTAGAAGAGGAACGGAAATACGAAGAGGCAAAGCAAGCAGTTCTAATTTTAAGTGTTTAAAAACAGAGTTTGGAACAGAAGAAAGTTGCTTGAAGAAGACAACTCTCTTGCCCTTGAATTTACCAGCAAGAATAATCAACACAGGAGGAATACAGATAATGTTCCAACAATGACCTGCAACTTGTTCTTACTCCACCTGTGAACATGAAAGCACAACCAAAATCAACAGAAAAACACTAACGACAGACCTTAAGAAGGAGCATGTTCTAAATTTCTTTGGGGGAAAGAACTCTTTCCACTTTGTTACATACGCTGCAGCAAAGAAGGAAGCTACCAAAGACAGAATCTTACTGCATATTAAACAAAAAGGTAAGCTTTTTAAGACTGGTAGTTGTTTCAGAATTGATTCCCACAGATGAACCCAGAACAAAAAAAAGATGAACACTTACTTGTGCCTACACGAAGAGTCCCACAGTGAAGTTTTTGGATTCAGAATTGCATATTTTGATCTCCGACACCAAAGCTGCTTCGTGTCTGAGAATCTTCCGTTTGGGATGTGATCATTTTCTGTCCACAGCTGAAGCTTCTTCTCCTCTCTTTTCAGCAATGGACCATCTCCAGAGATGAAATCTTTCAACAATGGTTGAGTATCCATCTCTGAGCATCTCTTGTTCTCCTCCTTAAAATACAAAATCGCTGCAAAGAAAAAAAAAACAGAGTTTCAGAGTCTCCTAAATCAAACTTTGATACTTAAAATTGAGAAGCTGAGATCATACAAACCATCGTTTAGAATCTGTAAACAGAGAGGAAGATCAAGAACACTGGCTTGGATCTTTATCTTTTCTTCCTCAAGTTTTTGACCATTCATGATCTTCCAAGCTTTTGTCGGAAACCCAAAGATCCTAGACTAAGCATCTGAGAGATAATCTACTGATGCTGAGAGATAATCTACTGATGCCTTTGAAGTATCTGAGCCGTAGATCACTTCTTCTGCAACTCTTGCTCCGAGCAAGACCTTTTATCAGAGAACAATAAAAACTCAATAATCAAACAAATGAAAGAAAAGTTTTTAACAGAGACGTAAAATAAGCACCTGAAGACGATGAAGATGTTGTGGACGACGACCAAACATGAAGGATTCATCGTCAAGCCGATGAAACACGACTTGAGACAGTGTTTGACCACGAGGGATGATGGAGATTCGATCGCACCGCTCGATCTTTGCATTCTCGTATCGCAATAAAAGATGTGAAGTGATTGCAACTCCAACTTCCGTTGTGGCTCTACAGCACTGACCTTGATGTCCCAATTCTAAACCGATACGCGTCGGACCAACAGTGGGTCGGTCAACAGCGTCTTCCATGTCAACAGAGATCTCTGTGTGGCGATTTTATAAAATTTTATAAAGAAAAGAGACAGTGGAATGTTGAGAGAGAGAGAGAGAGAGAGAGAGGTAATTTAGATTTGCTTCGTATTCATTTGTTCTCTGTTCCGTAATAGAAAAAAGATGAATAATGCAAGCCCACAATTGTTATATTTGGAGGGAAATAATATAGTGAGAGGGAAAGTGAAATAAGGGTGAGTGAGAAAATCAATTGTTTTTCTATTTAAGTTTTGCATAGCGTTTCGTTTTCGCAAACGCTATCTAAAAGTAAGAACTATATCAACTATAGCACAATCGAAAAAAATGCTATCATAGTATGCTATTAAAACCCTTATTTCTTGTAGTGAGGGTTCAGAGGATTCTTCTCTAAATCGAGAGAGATGATCTTCTCCCTTTACAAGTATTAAAATCACAATATCCAAAAGCTCTAGAGTTTCTTGTCTATAAAAAGAAGCGTATAGTGTCCAAGAAAATCAGAATAGAATTTGTCTCTCTGCCACAGGCGTCTGGGAGAAGAAAAGAGAAAGACTATGGCAAATCCCGAAATTAATTAGAAGTTTCTATAATTTTCGGGAGCAAGCTGGGGTTGCTCCGTTTAGTGCTCTTTTCAGGAGCATGCTGGGGGTTGCTCCGTATGGGTGCTCTGCGACATAAAACTTCTAATATTCATTCTTTTCTTCATGTTTCTCTCCAAAGGTTTCCTTACCTACTCCAGACCTGTAATGACTCAAAAAGACTAGAAAGACACGATAAAGACTTGAAAACAATTAAGAAAACATATATACAAAATGTCAAAAACACCATATATCAATTCCCCCAGACTTAGATCCTTGTTTGTCCTCAAACAATGTCAAGTATCAAGAACAGGGAGAAAAGTTTGGAAGTGTGGGAACTCTCTTATGGTTCAACAACCATACTTTAACCACGAATCTCTGAACCATACAAGTAGACATACTAGGACGACACACCCTTACCAGAACCCCACTGACTGTTATTCAAGTCGGCTCCATACTCTATATCTCAAACCTGAAAAAGTCACACTTTCCAGACAAAAACTCCTTGCATTCAATTAAGAGCAGTGTGAGCTTCTTGTCATAGGCATTATTCAGGATAAACAGTCTAGGTGTGAGACAGGCTTTTTAAGTGTTTAAGTGGAGCTAACAAGTGTTTAGGGGTTACCATTTCTCTGTAGAGGATGCAAGATATTGCACAAAATTGCAAGAGAGGATGGATCAATTGATCTCCACAGACCCCACTCGTTTTTCTCTGCAGAGCAGTTGCTTCTTATTCCTCTTTTCTTTGACAGGTTGCTCCCTTTCTTCCAGTTCACCTTTCTTCACACTGTTCCAATTCTACTTCAGCTTTTCATTCACCAATCAACCAGGGGCATTGTTTTCTTTTTCGTTCTTCTCCTTCTCATCATCTCTTAGAACTCTTGGGACTTGAATAACACTGTTTTTTTTTTTAATAGAAGAATTGATGAGTTCTGATGATGATGATGATGATGATGACCAAAAGGAGGTAATTACATATAGTGTGTCCCTGGTGGTTCTGACTTTAGCACTTCTTTCACCAATTGGTCTTTTCTGCTCGGATCACCCTACTGACTACTCTCTTCTTGTCGGATCATGTACGTATATACTCTGAAGCGTAATCTGTGAGCAAAACGAGTGAGAGCTGTGTTGATCCTTTCATCTCAAGCCCTTTTTTACATACCTGCACATATGAAACTTAAGAACAGAATGCATGAGGACGAAACAAAGGTTGTAAGGTTCATGGTGGGAACTAGCTAAAGATGAGCTAGCCACTCAGGATCAACAAGATGGATAGAAAGAATTAAGATGTCCTGAGTGTAATCTTGTTTCCCTAATCTTGCCCATAACAAGAAGAGTTAAGTCAATATTAGGTTCAAGTTAGATGGAGTTTAAGTCTTTCCAGAGTAACCTCTACAAGCATAAATCTTCTGGAGAGCAAGGTGAGATAAAGTCAGGGTGTTCTAGGTCCAAGTGTGCGTCTTTCGTCACTGCTAAGGTCACTAGATAAGATAACTTAAAGCATGAGGTGGTTAATGATTATCAAAATAAGGTCTTAATCCCCACAAGTTTTGACTCAATAAATATATCAAAATGACTCAAGACTAACTCAAACAAAAAAGCCAAAAGAAAAAAACGAGTTAGTAAACGACAAAGACCCTCCCCCCAAACTTACTTCACAACGTCTCAGTGTGAAAATAAATCAGAGAGAAGGTTTTAACAGAAATACAAATTATTTTGTTCGAGAAACTTACATGGCGCAAAGCAGCCTGACAGAGCAAGACGCGGTTGCTCCGGTAAAGGATGCTCTGAAATGAGAGCAGCCACCTCCTTGCTCGCGTCAAGGATCTCGGATTTTCTGATTTATGACCTGAGACTCAACAAAGTAAAACCAAAAATAAGTAAAAATAAAATCCTAATGTTAATGACACTCACCAGTGGGTTGCCTCCCACCAAGCGCTTGGTTTAAGTCACTAGCTTGACTTGGTGATGGGGATCAGTCTGGTTGAGCAGGAGGGCCTGTTCCAAAACAAGCTCCACAATCATACATGTTCAGCTTCAAAACCCTGCTCAACAACCTTTTCACAGCAGCTACCCATTTCTCCTTCAGCTCATGTGTGAGAATGGCTCTGACTTTAGAGAACGGTTTGGAGGTACCCTTGTACTTTACCTCATATTCAATGGAGTTCTCATCACACTTGAGAGGTATCAAAGTCACTGTAGGATCTCCCTTGCCCTTTTCTTCTGGACTTTCTGTTTCACCCTTGAATTCCCTCTGAATTTAGTAGGATCAGTGCTAGGATTTTCATCAGAGAACAGCCTGCTCTCACCCCTATTACCATGCTCCTTCTCTGGAACAGCCTTCAGCTTTTCTACATCAAACACTGAGATGCAAGAGGCGTGTGATGAGGAAGATCTGGTGGTTACAGTCTTGTAGAAAACTTTCTTGAAGCAGACCATCTTGTTGGGCATATCGATGGTTGCTCCAACAGTAGCCATGAATGTCCTTCCAAATATCAAAGGCATCTCATGATCCTTGTTCATCTCAGCAACTTGAAACTCAGCAGGAACAACGCAGTCCCCTACTTGAACATGAAGGTTGCGGATGGTTCCATATGGGACTGCTCTAGAAGTGTTTGCAAAGGTTAGGGTCAGCTGAGAACGCTCAACATCAGTAATACCCAAATCTTCTACAATAGCCTTTGAGACGAGATTCACACAAGAACCAGAGTCACAAAGAACGTCTCTGAAGGTTGTTACTGCGATAGAACATGGGAAAACAAACTTTCCAGGATCATCAACCTTAGGCAATACCTTTAGTGCTGGTGTAGACAGTGCTTTGGTATAGTGGGCTTTGATCTCCTCTTGAGTCTCTCTACAATTTTTAAAGAACTTAAGCAATGGGCGAATCTGCAGAGCATCTTCAAATGCAAGTTCTTTAGGAAGCCTTCTCACAATCTTATTAAAACCTACCAGCTGCTCTTCACGAATGAGATCCATCAGATGTCTGGGTGGGATTGGGTAGGGAACCTTAGGAACATAGACTCGAGCTGGTGGAGTCTCAGCAGATTCGTCGAGAGCAGTCTCTGCAGAGTTAGTAAGTTGCTCTGTTTCGCTTGGAGCAGTCTCAGCAGACCGCTGCTCCATTGCTCTTCCCTCAGTTTTCTCACATCTCAGCTCTGTTGCATTACAGTGTTCAACCCTAGGATTCATCACACTTTTTCCACGAAGGGTTTCTTGCTGCTTCTTAACAGTTTCAGCAGTTTGAGCAAGCTGAACATCAATCCTCATTATGTGGTTGCTTACAGTATCATATTTTAAATTCAGCTCAGCGAACATGATGTCCATTCTGGTGTTGATGTATGCGCTAACCTGATTCAATGCCTCCCCCTGAATTTGCTGACCCTGCAACAGTTGTTGCATCATCATAGCCAAACCTTTCAGCTCATCTTGCGGACCACTCGTAGTGGCTGCCGACCACTCGTAGTAGCTGGAGCAGCCTGCTGGTTGCTCTAAGATTTCTGCTGGTTGCTCTCTTGGTAATTTTTCTGCGTGGCTTGCTCATGATTTGTCTCTCCCACAAAATAAATTTGTCACTGGTTGTTCTTCAGCAGCTGATCAACCTTGGCTGTCAATTCATCTATCTTCTGGGTATCGACACTATTCACCTTCTTGGAGCGATCTGTTTCTGGGCTCTTGTTTGCAGAACTAGCAGTCATGTTCTCTATCAGCTCGAACGCACCATCGGTGGTCTGTGTCATGAAATATCCCATGCTCCCAGAGTTCAGAGCAAACTGAAATTCTCAGTTTACTCCATCATAGAAAATGCCCAAGAGGTAATCATCATTAATCCATGGTGAGGGCATTCTCTGCGATAGTCATTGCAGCGCTCCCATGCGTCGCAAAAAGACTCATCAGTGAGTTGTCTGAATGAGGTGATCCTGCTCCTTA